ATTATGCATGGTGTACAACGTTCTAAATATAAACACATTCCTAATGCTAAGGTATGTACAACAAAATAAAAAAAAATGCATCGTTTAGAGTTTGTTTCACGATACATATTAGAATGCCAAAAATGTCGTATCTTAAATATATATACCGGCAATACTTCAACACAAAAATACACTAAACTGGTTGGTAGACTAAAGGTCTCTGATAGGTGGCATAAGGAACTCTTTAATGTGCAGTGTTTAGAGCTTCCTTAATGTTAGACCTCTACCATTAAGTTTCCCTTAAGTAGAGTTTCACTGACTTTGTTATTGTCTAAATGTTATATAAGTATTCAGATAAATAGTATAAGAAGTCCTGTATACTTAAAATCATGTGTCCTTGACCTCTGTTTCGTGTCCTTGACATTATCTTGTACATGTAAGATTCCTCTAGGTTCCCTGCCTCACAGAGAGCTAATTTAACCACGCCCGCAGGATTCGCCATCAAATCTTCGTCACTACCAGGGGGACGGGGATGGGCGCATGGGCGGAGACCTTTGTTCCGAAGTTCACGATCCTCGGTGTTTATGAAGGACTTATTCACACTGTAGACAAGAAGGAGGATTTTTATTCATGGCAGGTAAAATTATAAAACGAATCAACCAAAATGAAAAACGAAATGAAGTTGCATATTTTAGTTACATATTCCTAGACCCCTGTCATTGAAACCAGATGGACTAAAAATTTCCTCTGCTTTCGTTTCTCCCTGTCCGCCTGTTTATCCGTTTGACTAGCTTCTGTGTATTTTGCTTGACTTTGATGAGTTATAGATAAATTTTTATTTTTGATCCACTTCAATGATTTCAGATAAAATTTTCAATTTAAGAGGAAACCAGATTACACGGTAGGGGACTAGTATTGCTAATGTAACACTCTCACGCTTTATTTTTCAGATTCTTTTAATCCCTAAATATTCATTACCTCAAAGTTATTTTGATCAACATGGATCTGATTGTCATCAAGTATAAAATATATAACATATTCTGAACTAAAATTCATTCTTAAACATAAGGATCTTATTGTTTTCAAAGGTAGATAAACAGGGGAGCGATGGTACTTACAACATAGATGCAGAAGATCCGGCCTGTAGTAACTGGTTACGATTCGTTAATTCTCCCGCCAAATATCAACAGGAAAATGTCGTTCCTATCACGTGCGAGGGCATCATCTTCTATATGACGTCACGTGATATAGAGCCGGGTGAAGAGCTTCTTGTCTGGTATGGGGATGGATATGGGAGGTTTTTAGGCGTAAACCGCATACATCCGGGTAATGAAACAATACACTTTATGGTTAATTGTTTCCATCCGGGTATTTAAACAATCTACTTATCAGATAACTTGACCGTATACAATGTGGTCATTAAAACATTTTTATGCCCGCATGAACAAAGTTTCGGGGGTTTATAGTTTTTTTCGTGTCCGTCCCTCTGTCTGTCTGTCTGTCTGTCTGTCTCTCATGTGTATTCCCAGTTTTACATAAAAATCCAAACTTTTACTTTGGCCATATCATTTGAACATTGGATACCAGGGTTGTTATAATTTACATATAAGTCACATATATATTTTGTTAAGAGACATTTCATTGGATACCAACAACTTTGACCTTGGAGATTTTAGTACTTGTGAAAAAAACGTGTATCCTTGTTATAACTTTTGAACAGTAAGGCCTAGGGCTTTTATGTTTTACCTAATTGATCCTTGTGACAAGAACTTTCATTTGATATTAAAATTCTTGACCTTGGAGTTTGACACATTTTTACACAAAAAATCTAACTTTTACTTTGGCTCTAATTTTTCAATGGTAGATTCTAGGAATATCATATTTTAAATATCAAGTCTTCGTGACAAGAGTTATCTATTGAAACCAACAATTTAAACCTTTTGGCCTTAGAAATTACGCATTTACAAGAAAACTTTACCTGGCCATAACATTTGAATTGTAAGATTTAGGTCTTTCAAACTTCACTTATGTAGTCATTGTGATCTCTATCTTGCCTTTGAATAAAAAAAATAGATACTCTTTCATAAAAAAAAATAATGTGGATTTTATTTAAACACCTTTGATTAATAGTGAAATATTTTCTATCGTTCTACAAATCTGATTTTAAAGTTTTGAAATAGATAAAACAAACTTCACATTGAATCTGGAAAGTATATATTCGCAGTGTATCAAAATTGTTAATTTCTTATTTTATCCAAAGAACAGTGTTTTTGGACTCGAACACCAACAAAGGCACTTATTTTCCTTTGTTCTTTGAATTGAATTGTAGTTTTGCCTACGTTTTATTATGCTCGGTAGAAAATTTTCTTTCTGTTGTTACATATGCTACCACGCAAAAAGGATACGCTCCCTTTTTATGTCTTTTGAATTTGGATACAACAGATCAAATTTTATGAATTTTTAGAGCATACAGGATGTAAAGCATCAAATCATTTTGTAAAGGTGTTGTTTAAAACATTCAAGACAAAATACTATTAATCCTTATTCATAAAAGTGAAATATAAGTTTTCGTATGATATAATTTTTTTCTTGTCCTTTTCTGTAGAAGTTGGTGCTTCAAACGGTCCATTTGTTGAGTTCGTTGCCGAAATGTTTTGACATTTGACGACAATGAAAGACTCATTTTTGATAATTGGACACCAGTGACGTATCAGAACTGGAATCCTGACAACGATGAGGGCGAGACGGCAGTTGACCCAATCTTGGCCTCCTTTTGACTTATCATAACGACGGCAGGTGGCGCTGGGTGACTCAAGAACTACACGTACTATACAGGAGAAGACGGACTAAAACTTCCCTTTATTTGTGAGGATTCTCCAGTTTATTTTGAACATGAAGAGTGTTCTGTTACATAATGATTCATTCTCTTTTAATTAAAATAAACCTTTGCAATCATTATCTTTGTTATATAATTTCATAAAGCATGGTGTATAAAGTTCTAAATCATTAAATGGAGTATTCTTAAGTTAACGTTCGATCGTGTATTTGGTCTCCTCGGAAGTCATCTAGATTTATCCTCGGATCGTACATTCCTCTCCTCGGAAGAGATCTAACTTTATCCTCGGATTGTATATTGGTCTCCCAAAGATGTTCGGTTTATCCTCATGTTTTAAATAAACTATTGATAGCATGTACACAAATACAGACGGTGCATTATATTGTTTCGTTATTTTCTCAAGGAAACTGACTGGGATCTCCTCGCACCATATATACAAACATTTTAGCACAAAGTGTTGTTTTGAAATTTCTATCCGTAATCCAAAAAATAAGGGGCAAATATATTTTCCTGGGACGGTCGAGTGCCAGTTGTCTGTTTGTTTGTTATTTTTTTCCTGATTTATCTGTAAGTGGTAAATCAATTATCCCTGACTACAGCCTTTAATTGATTTGAGCTATGAATTTCATATTTCACAGGTTTTATTTCTTTATTTTGACGGACAATTTGGAATTTGAAATTTGAGCTTTGGTCATATGAACTATGGCTTTAATATTTCACTGGTGTATTCAACGTGTAAAAACTTTTCCTAGGGTAAAAGTATTTTTGACTTTGACCTTTATGTTTGACTCACTTTTAAAGAAATTTTCAAAATTTTATTCTTAGCCATAGCTACTACACGGTTAAATCAAGTGATATCATACTCTTCACGCTTATATTTTGATAAGACCTTCACCTGATTACAAACAGTAATGACCTTTAACCTTGATCTTATGGATTTGACCTACTTTTCAAAAACGTAAACTTTTCAAAGTGTTTTTACTGAATATTTAGTACAAGGGGTAACTATTTTACCGGTTCATTTCTTGTGGTAAGAGCTTCTCTTGAATACCAATATTTACTTTTTATTTTTTATCCTTTTATTTGGACATCCAACTTTGACCTTCTTTTGAAAAATTTTGGTGATAACTTTTAAATGGTTGATTTTGTGACTTTAATATTTCCCCTGGGTATTCTTTCTGAAATTTTTTCGGACATCATTAAGATTGACTCCTTGACCTTGTCCAGTTTGACCTACTTATGAAAATCTCTAACTTTGGTCTTGAGTATTGAACTGTTGCTGCTTTTATGGTTTTTATTTTAGAAGGTAGACTCAATGTGAGAAACCTTTCTTTTTGGTACCAAAACTAGTTTTATATTTACCTTGATGTTTGACCCGCAAATGACTACATTAATCATAAGCCTCTTACATTTTCACAAACTTATCTTGAATTTTTATCATTAGCTCCTAAATTTTTCCTATTGATTTAACAACAAATTTCAAGCTGTAGTCTATCACAGTTTTGGATATATATAAACCATAGTCTACACAATGCATAATAGAGAAAACTTGTCACACATATTGAATCATTTTTTTAAAAAGATGTTGTCTCATAATTGCAAAGGTATTTGCAGAACGTCTTGATTAATGTTAGCTCGCTGTGTTTTATTTGCAAAGTCGATTTTAAGATATAAGATAACATCTTTCAAAAAATAATGAATCAGTGCTTATATTTTTTCTAACTCCTTGTCTTGTTTAACAATAAAGTAGTCTTCATCCTAATTCTCCGCCCAGTTATCTCCATTTATCAGTGTTTGAGAATGAAAATTTTCTATTTTCAAATTTATTACAACACATATAAAGTACATCTTTTACTGAATACATTCAGTATCCCTTTACAGAGCCTTTCAACCCCCCTTCTTTACTGTTTGTTACTTGATGTTAAATATTGAAATTAAGAACTCAGCGATAAAAATTAATTTAAAATCGTCTCTTGAGGGTTTTCATAATCTAAAATCGTCTCATGAGGGTTTCCATAATCCATGGATGATCTTTCGTCTGTTACAAAAAATTAAACAAATTAATACTTCACAGATACATGTATGATAGCATATTTTTTTTTATTTATAAAAACAAACTTTTTTAACTGAAATTTTCACAGTAATTCAAAAATAAAAAAAACTTAAATGATTAAATGATGCTTACCTAGCGACGCTTGATCATCATGAGAGTCTCCTTTATCTGTTTACCATCAGTCACTGTAGGAAACCATGGTCTGTACCAGGACTCCGGGGACCATTGACCGTTAAGGAAGGCGGCGTGACACCAGTTAAACCACCAGCCTCCTCTACGGTCACTGAGAACAGCACAGTTACCAGCACTCCACCTGTCGTTATCCCTGTCTGGGGTACTGAAGGACATCCCAGACAGATTAATACCAGAATAACCCGTGTTTAACATAGAGTCCCCTGTAAAGTCAAACAAAAAGAATCACAGATATATCTTCAATTTAATTGTCAACAATAATACTGAGGTACTTCTAAGAAAGACGGCTTAGGGTGCGGGAAAGAGAAACAATAATTAATTAGTTCATTCCCAGAATCCCCGGTGTCTATCATACTGGCACCTGAAGAATTAGAGAAAATATAGAACAAAGATGATAAGTATTAATCAGTAATTTTCATCCTATTAATCTTAATACTGAAGTACGTCTGAGATACACAGTTTAAAGAGATAAAAAATACAAGTCAACAAAACACTGCACAATTCACATAAAGCATCCTTTCTTGTGTAACAATAAACCACAGGTGTGATACACTTTTAAAGCATGGTAATATTGTGGGGAGGGATATCACGGGAAATTTTAGAACACATCACAAAATGAAATTTTAATAATTGTCCGATACCATGCAATACTAAGTAGATCATTAATAACGAGATAACATATGGTGCATCAATGAATGTTTTGAAATGGTAAAGATTTCCTATTACATAAATGGAAATGTAAAACGGGTTTATGTCTAATTTAGCTTTAAAACTTTTTTTTATGAATACTAGTATTTATCCATCAAATTCTTTTATCATCAACTTTTCGTTAATCTGTCGACATTTAAGATTAATGAAGCACTGTAAACCTCCTTTTCCGTAGTAGTAAAAATGTGAATCATTGAAAATCAGACTATCATGCTATGTAAACTTTTTTACCGTATTAGTTAAAATTGAATTATGAAAAATTATCAGGCAACCCAAGCTAAAAACAATGTTGAACAAATGTAATTATTGGATTTGTTTGTTTAAAAGAATTAACATAACTTTCCTTGTACATAAAATGTATAATGAGAAATTTTATCTACTTGACAATGACAGAATCAATATCTGCAGAATATGAGAATTGTACCTGCAAATGTTATTCTGAAATATTAAACATATTTAATTAGCGTGGAATCAAAAACGTACAGAGAATATCAGAAAAAACACATCTTTCTTTTTTTCAAGAACTTTATAATCTTTCAATACAGAAAAGAATTCTTATAATGATATACGTATTTTGAACCTAATTTTAAGAACTTTACTTAAATACACTTACCTAAAGTCCCATTGGCAGGTCCTGCAAGAAAGAGTTGATATTTTCCTGCTTCGTCGGAGACAGAGAATCCGTCGTACATTTCATACAGCGTTGTACCATTCTGGAGAGTGATGGACACATACAGGGATGAGGTGTTTTCTTTTGTTAATTTATGGATTACGTCATTTCCTGTATAAAGATATATTTGAAATTATCCGAAAAGTTCATCGAATACAATTAATTCTTTTAAAATCTATATGAATCTTCCGTAATGAAAAATCAAATTATTTTCCATAGCTGTAGACAATATCACTAAATTTGGTCTCATTAGAATATGCCGCTTAATGATATTCTTCATTTCTATTTTTTTTATTTGAAATATCAATTAAACACGATATCTGAATATCATAGAACATACACTACCTGGACTTAACTTTAGATCTTTATTACGCATTATGATTTTTTAATTGCCACAAGAATTTTTTTTATCTTAAAACTTTGAAGGAATAAAAAGTCCTTATTTGAAACCGATTTACACTTACCAATCCAGACGTTCTGTGCTGGTGAACCAAAGCCATTTTTATATTCCGTCCAGGTCCTGTTAAAGGTCATCGATCCGTCTAAGCGTTTCTGAATTGCCTTTGAAAATTAACATGCGTAACAATTCACTATATTGCTTCGAACATTCGTAGGATCCATTTTTTTATGATATAAACTACAATACAATCTTGCAATCCTGAAAAACAACAAAACAATTTGTGTTATATTAAGTATTTTTAATTCTAAAATAAACAACCTACCGTCCATCCACCGCCCATTGTCGTCATATCGCAATGCTCACTGACCGGTACTGTTAATGTTCCGTAGGGGTATATATCATACAACCCTGTGATGGTTTGTCCATTTTCTCGAAGATCCTTGCAATCTTTGGGCATTGCTAGAAAAATCTGAAAAAAAAAATATAATACCAGGATCATACAATGTATATGTACAAGAAGTGAGAGGATATATAATGCCTGCATGATATATAAACGTTAATTGTTGGGGCTAAATTGTTAACTACATACAATGCAGGTGATGTTAAACTGTTCCCGATTATCTTAAATCATATTTGTTTTCCAGTTGGTACAAATCTTCGATTTATGACATGACTAAAAGTATTTAAATTAAACACAATTATTTTCAATACTCTGTTGACTGAAAGAAATGTGAAAGAGAAATTAATTGTAGATAAGATGATAAAGAATTTTGACACTGATATAGTTGTTGAAATATGTAGTAAATCATGAAATCGTTTTGATGTATGATATAATGTCTGAACGATCGACAGGGGATGTTTACTCCTCCACGACACAGGCCAGCTGTTTTCAGGATTCACATCTCAGCTTTCAGAACAGCTGTTTTTAAGATTGCAATTTCAAGATACTAGCTAAAGTGAAATTTTGTCGTTTATTTAGTTATCAACAAGTTTTTTATTTTCTAATGGTTTGGACTAATCATAGTCATAAAGCTTAAATTAATATTACTAAATACTAACGGTGTAGAATGTTCATCTTATGTTTTATATTAATTGCTAAGAGATATCCAGAAAAGAGAAAATAGAAATAGAGAAAATCACAAAGTATAATTTAATCAGTCTCAAATTTAGAACAGATTCTACAAGCAAAAAATGGATGCTTGAATTGGAAAATATTTTTTGGCCTAATTTCAGTGCAAATAATAAATTTATTGAATATAAAGAAATTGAAAACCTTATGTGATGTTCAAAAGTCTGTCCTTCTGAATCTTTATTAATCTATATAAATATTTTTCACTTTAAATTCAATTTTTGTGCAAATTTGAATAAAAAAATTAAAAACTACGCGGTGAAAATTATTCATTGTATTCATTTAAACATGACCAATGTTGTTATTTTTAAATTCTTTGACAAAAGTTTGTCTGTATCATCTCTCCTTAAAAGTCAAAATTAAAAAAGTAATAAAGAAAATCAGCAAAGAGATGAGTATGTCACTAGAATCAATTATGTTGAAAATACAATTGTTTATTTTAGATAAAAAGAATTGTCAAAAAAAATGTGTCTGTTCGAGAGGGATTTAAAACGAATGAAAGAAGCAAGCAGAAAAAAAAATATACATACCGTTATCCGAGTAGTATCTCCAACCGGCCTCATCAGAGAGCTCAGACTTAAATATTTTCTTATGGGTACGGCATTTCTTCATTTGATTGTTGAATCCAAAGAAGACGCACTCCCTTTTACACATCATGGCACACCTGGATATTGTATGAGAATTATGCTCTCCTAAAAGCCCATAATTTGATTTCTTATCATTAAATTCAAGTTTCGCGGTAAGTTCTTTCAAAGTATCGGTAGCCTTTGATAAAGCTATGAAGCCAATGATTAAAGAGATAACCCACTGATTGCTCATTTTCTTTTTTTCCTTTTATAAGAAAATAACTGCGTTCTTGTGAATCTGTGAAATTCTGCTAAATCGTCTTTCAACAGCCAAATATATATATATGAGTACCATAATCAATGTCTGAAAAGTGATTGGCTCACTGTTACGCATTCTATATTTCACTGTTGTTTAAGTATCGATTTTACTTGAATTGTCATAAACATTTATTTTGAAATTGCAATTTAGAAAATAACAATGAAAAATATGCTGTTTTTAATTTAGTTAAGGACAGATGATACAAACAAATGTTTTCTTTGAAAAAGATTTTAAATCATGTCACAAGTTTAGAAATGTGGATGGTTCTTAGAATTTTTTCTCCTAAGAACTAGAATATGAAAAAGACTTAGAAAATATTAGTAATATTTCAATGAAAAAACGAATATAAAGAAATAACATTCAGTAAAGGTTTACAGGTGATAATAAATTTCAGAATATGTTATCCTGGCGTTAAAAGTGTAATATAAACCTTAGAAAAATATACCAAGCCAGGTGAATTTAAAGAGGAAGATCGAAATTAAAAAAAACTGGCAATATCACATTGGCTGATTTTAACCATTTAGCTTTTCCTAATAAAATTCGCCTGGCTCGGTATATTTTTCTAAAGTTTATTTTACACTTTTTTAGCGCATGAAAACATATTCTATCAATTATTTTCACCTGTAAACCTTTACTGAATGTGATTTGTCTATATTTGTGTTTTCATTGAAATATTACTAATATTTACCAAGTCTTTTTCATAATCCAGTTCTTCGGAGAAAAAAAAAATCTAAGAACCATCGCTTCTAAACTTGTGACATGATATTTAATCTTTTTCAAAAGAAAAATTTGTTTGTATCATCTGTCCTTAAAGCATGTCTTGTTATGATATACAGAGTTTTTTTTATCAACTTTCTTCAAAATTTGATATTTGACTGCCGTCATAAAGGGCCCTTATCGTTTGACGTCACAATTCTCAGAAAACGACGTCAAAGTCGCGGTTTTGTAAACACGGAAGTAATTTTTGTTGACCGCGTTTCGTGAACTTAAAATAAAATTGAATTTCAAAGTGTAACAAAAAATTGAAATTTCATGAGGACATTTTTTAATATGTTTTTGATATTATTACTAATTACTACGTCAATTTATTCATGATTTTGTTTAAGTAGTTAACTTGATGTTGGTATACGCGACATTGGACATGCACATTGCTGGGACAGCGATTAAAACGATGTCGATGACGGCAAAATTAAAGATGCTGCATATTTGTTTTCTGAGCAATTTACAAATGCTTTAATTTGAACTCATGTTAAGAGTCTTCATATCAAAAGGTCCATATACATATACATATAATTCTTTCTTCAGAGAGCTAGAGAGAGAGAAAGAGCAAGCGAGAGATCTACATGAATGCACATATATATATAGTAGTTACCGTTCTTATAAGCGCTAAAAAATATATTCCATAATTTAAAATGTATTTAGCCATGTTAAATTTAATCCATATGATTTTCCCCCGATAGTCAGCCTTTGGTGAACTGTCGATTTTAAAATGTGAAAAAAAAGGGGGGGGGGGGAGGAGAGTAATAAAAAAGGAAAAAAAAAAAAACTCCAATAAAAAGACCGGTTAAATTCAAGCTAAGAAACATAATCCGCTTTGATTAATAAAGACACTGGTCACATGGGAGATCCAAAACTTTACATAACAATAAATATTTATTTTAATAAAATAACAGTAAGATAATTTGCTAAAGAAAATAAGGAAAAAATATATACTAGGATGGGGATGCTATAAATTTTTCTAAAAAATAATTTTTTCAAAAACTAAATTTAAATGATCAAATATATACATTCAAAGGAACCGTATGGTAAAAATTATTGTATAAATTTCTTAAATATTCCAAGAAACAATAATGAAATTCCACTAACTTTAGTATTGCAATCTGTTAAAAATAAAATACAGTTATTGAAATTTTTCCCAAAAGCAATAAACCCAATTTTGAAGAAATTAACAATATTACATCGACAGTGATATTATGAATGAAGATATTTATAATCCAAAAGAAAAAAACTATAGATTAAGCGAAAAGCTCAATTTCTGGTAAGTTAGATATATGGCTACATTATAGAGCAAAAAAATGTAAGTGACAGGTGGTTGTGTGTGAAATTTCCCAAAAGTTATGAAAATGTGAAAAATCTATAAAAACTTTAATGAGCGTGAAATATATTTCACTGATTAGTGAAATGATATATAATAAACAAGACACGTTTTGCGTTGAAATCTTCAACTTTGATACTGTTCAAAATACCCCGAATATCTCACATTAGTTTCTTAAAGTTCGGTTGAAATCGAGACAAAACTTTATATCATAATCCTAACATGTTTCTAATAAAGGAATTAATAAACAAACACAAATATTTCTTTTTTTAAAGAAAATATTGGCCATTATATTCGTATGCAAGGAGCAAGGGGGGGGGGGGGGGGCTCATTGAAGGTCCTTTTCCCCCCCCCCCTCAAAACACCCCCCACACACACACTTTTTTTACAGCATAATCAAATTCTTACCAGAACCATATCATTTTTATTAAGAAAATTTGATACTGAAAGAAGACTGACACCCCCCCCAAAAGGCAAGGGGTTTTGAGTTTCACACCCCCTCCCCTTTTTTTTTTTTGATGAGTAGTCTTGAAAGGTAAATTGATTTTTTTTGGCTGACCCCCCCCCCCTTTTTTTTCAAACGAGTTGCGGGGGGACAGGCGAAGATGTAGTCAATTTTTAAAAAATACTTTTGATATGTTTGGTATAAAAATAGGAAAAAATGGTTTGTCTAAATTTTTTAAAACCCAAAAAAAAGGAAAAATTTTAAAGCGGTATTTTATTACTTAATTAACAGCATCACCTCGTAAAAAAAAAAAATAAACGTGTGTTGAACATAAATTTCATTATTGGCTAAGACAATAGCATCAGAATGAGAAAAGCTTATAAGATGTAAAGTTAATTAGCCATTGTCTCGGAGGAAAACGAATAGATGACCTTTCATGGAATTAAAAATGTTTTGTTTTGCTTGACAAGAAAAATTTGGGTTTTAAAGTAAAAAAAAAAAAGCGCCCCCCCCCCCCCCCCACACACACTGAAATGGTTCCTGCGGGCCTGCCGTTCTAGCGTAAAAATATACAAGTATCCATCCAGTTTCAGTTTCAAAAAATTTTGTCAAGATTTGAATGGAAATGTTTCGCAAAAAAAGTCAAAACCGTTTAGTGTGAATATATAAAAAAAAAACCCGGAATATTTGGTGGGTTTAAAGTGAAAAAAAAATATACTCCACCCCACCCCCCCCCCCCCCACACACACACACTGAAATGGTTTTTTTACGCCGTTCTCGCGAAAAAAAAATTTC